GAAGTAAAGAAATTCCAAATAAGGTAAAAAAACCTTTATTATAGTATTTGGACCGGTGACATCTTCAAATCTTATGGCATAACCAACTTTATCACCTAACTCTGTTTCCATCTCCTCGCTGACTCGTTTTGCAACACTCATGGCTGCCACACGTCTTGGTTGTGTACAACCAATAATACTACTATTTGTATATCCATCTTCATGAAGATACTGTCAGATAGCTTTATCATCAGCTTAACAATAAACGGCTTATATGTTGAATAAAATCAAAGAGAGTATTGGAAGTGGGTGTTACCTGTGTCAATTGAGTTGTCTTCCCAGAACCAGTCTCTCCAACTACAACTATTACCTGATTTTCACGAACAACCTAATGTAGAGCAAGCAGAAGAATTAAGCACAGTGATAAGCAATTGCATAGGAAATCATGAACATATCAAAAACAACAATGATATCACCAACACGAGGAAAATTTTTAGTGGTGTTACAACTAAAACATGTAATGTCTCAAATTTAACAATACGTAGCACAGTTACTAAGGATATCAAATGTACTGGGCCATGCTACAAGTGCAGGGTATCTTAGCCTCATTCATGATATGTGTAATATGGGAGTAGTTGAATCGTTATTTGGGAATCACTCATTTAAATAACTGGTGGTCCTAGAAATCAACTATGCATCTAACAACAATGCTAGCAAATATTTTAAAAACTGGTCTGATATTGATTTTGGTAATCTACGGGACCGGTACAGTACCATTTTGTCAATGGACTTATACCTTTGGTATCCTTGAATAAAATAAAAAATTAATTTCATGTGTATCATTATAAAGCTAAACATTTTAATGAGAAACAAAGAACGAGAGGAAGAATGGGAGAAACTGATAGAAAGGTGTGAGGGAAAATAAGAAAGAGAGAAAAGGGAGAGAAGCTAGAACAGAGAAGGGAAAGACAATTTGTGACAGAAACAAAGGCTTGTTGAGCACCATTGCAGTCGAATGTTGTCAGTAGCTGACAGAGAAAGGATTACAAAAGAGGCAGGGAAAGGGCAAGAATGTGAAATCGGTATTCGGAAAAGCATTTGCATGGCTGCTTTGAATACTGATAGCAAAAAGCAGCAATCTAGGTTCGGATGGATGACTATGGTTGTGAGAGGTGGCGAGGGGGATGAGAGTTGTTAACTTTTGGTGTTAACTTGTTTTCCTGGGAAAGCCTTAATCATTAATTTCATTCAACATATAACAGAAAACACAAAATATGATATGACATTTAAAGAGAACCAAACAAAGCATGCATTATAGAGTGCAAAATGAATATGTTGACCAATATGTTTATAGATATTAACCTTCAGCAGTTCCTCACGAACAGAATATATTGGAAGATACTGCCTTTGTTGTGAAATGGACTTCGACTTGGCGAA